TATCACAGACCTGGATTTCTACCCCAGTAAATTCTAGTATTTCATGTCTGATATATAGAACATACAACTTACACTGATTTAATGCTGGTGACATTATATTGTATTTATTATAGTCCATGTGAGATCCTTACGTTACTGTAATGGGAAAGTAGCTGTAATGTTCTGATCTCAATCATCAACCATTGACAGTTTATATAATAGACAGAGCTTCCGGGTCTGTGTGTGTCTTAAACCTGCATTCTGTGTAATAACCAGCAGGGGGCAGCTCCATTACCATTCAGTCTTATGGAGAAATGAGCTGACTTCTCAGTTGATTTATGAGCTTAGTAAACAGTTTCCTGATGAGGTTCTGGTCTCAATCTCTAGTTTGAAGTCTTCTTCCATACAGCTTGATGTTTATTTAGTAAATGACGGTTCCCATTCAGAGTAAAATAGACCATAAAGAAACGCATCAAACTGTCAATTTATAAGATGTGCTAATCAAATATGAAATAATCCAGATTCTGTTACTGCGTTGTTTATTTTTCACCTAAAATCTTTACAGAAACATATTTTAGTTTAAAGTTTAGCTGTAATTAGCCACCATTGTTTCCTGCTACAGTTGAGTCATAACTGAGCAGCCAATGAGAGCAGATCAACTCGCAGTACGTCCGACAAACCGCCATGGCGACGACCGGTCACGCATTGAACCCAGACTGTAGGGAGTCTGAAATACTGATGGAAAGTTTTTGTGCTTTTATAATCCCTTAATCCCTATTAATATAAGAGCTTTACCTTTGCCTATTTATCACAAATGGAGACCGTTGGTGCAACTTAGATGTCTTTCTAAAGTCTAAAGAAAAACACAACACACACACACACGGTGCTGTATTACCATAAATGTTCTGTACAAGTGAATAACGGAATAAATAAATAAGAGCGGGAGGATATTTATTATTATTTAATTAATTTAATTTAGTCTCCCTTCAGTTATGTCTGAGCTTTAGAAATGCTAATGAATCAGTCTTATCAGCTTCTTTCCTCATGTTGTCCTGCTGTGGCTTCGTTCGGCAGCGATGTGCACCAGAGGCTGCTGGCCGCTATAGCTTTGGGAGATGATTGTTTACCGTTTGCTGGATTAGTTATTACGACGAGCAATCACGCCTAGGTCTGCCATGCCTCCGTGGTCACATCCAGCACATAAACTCTGAGCGTAAGATTTACAGTCCAGACATAAAAACAAGTGATGTGTGATTAAGTCCACGAAGCAGACACTCACCAGATGTCTGATGCATTCCAGCGCTGTTTGAAAAGTTGGAAATCCCAACTTCCTACTTGTAAAACTACAATGCATTTATCTTAATGAAAGCTACCAAATGTGAAGCACATTGTGTTGTCAAATGTCCTGTAACTTCAAAACTGGAAAGTATGTTGATTTCTTTTCTACAAACTACAACAGTTTATCATAAATATTAACATAAAGTACACACTTTATACAACTGACCTGTCCTAAGTCCCTCCAGAGAGACATGCTACATGCTAGGCTCATGTTAAAAAAAAAAAACATTTTGAAAATGGTTAAAAGATAAAAGCGACATATAGTCACATCTTCAGTTATCTAATGTTAGTTAAACTAACGATTGATGTAAATTAGCTAGGTAGCTAGTTATAATAAACCATTTAAGTGAAAAGAAATCAGCTTTTAGACAATTTTGTAACTTGAAAAGACTTTAAGTACATACAAATTTACAACAAAATAATAGAACAGTAGAATTATTTAAATATGGAAAAATATTCAGATTAACTTGCATAGATTAGCTAGTATGCTCTGTAGCTAAGTGTTAGCTAACTAAGGATTCATGTAGATTAACTAGCTAGTTAGCAACTGTTTACAGAGCAAAAAGGAGTGCGATTTAGGAATAGTTGGGCTCACAGCAGCCATTTGGACATAGGTTAAACACAGGTGTTACCAATGATAATCAGTAAAAGGTCTATTACTATGGAATTGGGACACAGCTTTTTTTGATTGGTCATAGCAGAAAAACCACAGGTGGAATTAATAAAGTCAATGATGATTCTGTGTTGCAATGCACTAACTGATGTCATTAGTTACACCTGCAATGGTAAACCTCTTTATTTGTTCCTAATGTAGGTAAAAAGTAAGTAAAAGTCCTGTCTAGAACTAGAACAGATTATTTACGTGGTTATTATAGAATTATAGAAAATACTAAAGGACACTTTAGATAATATTAGAGGAAACAGGCCTGTTATATTTCATTAATACAGAACTAGTCACTGTTTGGGATGTTGTGGATTCAGATGACTCTCAGACATTGTTAGAACCATACAGGTATATTAATAACCAGGTACAGTTCTATATCATTCTCTGATTACAACCAGGATAAGACCAGAAGCCATGTACACATACCCCTCCACTGCGTCCCCTGTCTGTCTCTCTGTGTCTCCTGTCTGCCTCTCTGTGTCTGTGAATGTGGGTGTGGTCTCCCTTCCTGGTTCCCAGCGCTGCTCCTCTGCACACCTGTCTGCAATGGCTCATCACCACCCCCGGACGGCTCACCTGTCAGCCATCAGCTCGTCAGTTTTCACCGCTTCACCCGCAGCTCTTCCCAAATCCAGTGGCACATTGTTGTTCTACCGCAGTGTGTGTACGCCTCAGGATAAACTTTATAATGTTACTGTAGTGATTTAACCTCTGCAGCCATTGAATCTCTGCCACAGGCTCTCCTCTATTCTCTGGTACCATTCCAATAAAACTAAACTTCATCCGTTCTTGTCTGTGTTCTGCGTCTGGGTCCACGCTTAAACTGAAGTTCATAAAGTTAAACTTATAATAAAGAAGATTATTAGACCATCTTGTAACTAGAGACAACACAAAACAAAAAAAATAGTAGAAAAGTAAAATTATTTAAAAATTGATAAATATTCAGATTAATAGAAAAAGTTTAAGTCTCTTCAAAAACTAATGGAGCAGTGGAGAGGAAATGCCATCTACTGCTGCTTAAGTGCACATTCTCGTTAATTGGTTGTGCTTTTTTTCTTCTTTGTGGAGTGTAAGAATTGTAAATTACAAAATTGTCCAGTCAAAGTGGAAAAAAGGAATAATTTGAGAAGGAGAAAGAACATTTCTCGTGGCGGAAAATAACAGGAAAGATGAGGAGTAGTTAATCGCTGCACACGATGTGCTCTTTAGCCGAGAACATGCTTAAAACAGAAATGTTAACGTGGAGCAGATCAAAAGGTCAGCGTGAACAAAAGACTTATATATATATATATA